TGAAAGTCATGTCCCCAGAATGTCTTTCACTTTCACAGCTCAAAACACCACAAAGATGATTAACTTCAGTGGGACTGCATAACTCCTGGTTTTAGTTCTGTTCTAAACGGGATGTTTCAGTGTCTGTAGCTTTAAATGCAACTGAGCTGCTGCTGGCTCCGCCCCCTTCAGGAAGTAGACTGTCTCTGTGTCTGATTGACAGCTCAGACAAAAACGACACAGCAGCTGACTTTCCTGTTGTTGTGGGGACATTGCTACCAATAATAACAGCAATCGACTGGGTGTTCAGTTCTTCACATGCTAGGAGTGCATGAACACGCTTGTGTTCACTCTTGCAGCCAACAGCAGAGCCTTTGGTGAACTTTGCTGGTGGTTCAGACATTTCAGAGTTTAGCAGAAGCAGCTGTAGGAAGTAGATTAACCTGGTGGACTGAGAGGCAGCTGCTCGCTCTGATTGGTTCACCTGGAAGCAGTGAGGGGGCGGAGCTACACAGAGTTAGAGCTGGACGACTATTGGTTCGTCAGCTGGTACGTTGTGGTAAAATTCTCACATTTTCACATCTGAACAGCTTTGACTTCACACTTTCAAGTTCATAACAGCCGGAAACACATGAAAAAAAACTGATTTTCACAATGTGGGATCCTAAAGATAAAGATTTTGAGGTTGTAACAGAATTGACGGTATGGTTCTGGGTATATCGGGTCTGTTTTAAACCCAAAGTTTAGATGCTAAATGATCCACAGTTCACTCTGTCTTTTCCCCTCCGTCCCGTTCTTTACTGCTGCTTCATGCAGAGTGTTCATTAGCAGCATAACCTTTTACTTTGAATCACATCTCAGCTCGGTGTGCCGATTGCCTGCAGGTCTGACTGAAGGAGCGTGTTGGATCATTAGTCTTTGTGTCGAGGGCCTCCAGCCGGCCTGGTGATCCGTCACTCAGCTAACCGCTAACAGCAGCCAGCCGATCAGTCAGCAGTTCAAGCATCCCTCCATCCCTCCATCCATCCATCGGCTGCAGCAGGGCGGTGGCGGCTGGGCTTCATTTTCTGTCTTGTTTTTCTTTAACTGTTGCACATTTTAGCAGATTTAATGTTTTCCTAAACTTCCTTCGTGTGCATCTTCCTCTTTTCTTACACCTACGAACGACACATCCCAACAGATATGCAGACTAGACTTCTTCTTCATAAAGTTTAATCTGCTTTTTGCATCTTTTTAATCGTAAGTTTCTGTCTGTGCCACCATCTGCTGCTGCAACAGCTGCTTCCTTCAGCGCTTTCTCCTCTTTCTCCTCCTCTTTGCAAACTACTACACATGCAAACTACATATTCCTTCCTAACGTCAGCTGTCTTTTTCAGCTGTTGTCGTTACTGTACCGGTCTTGTTTTGCGTGTTCGACTGAAGCTCTTATGAACAGGAGGTGTGTTTTCCAAGCAGCTGTAGGAAATGTTCTTTTCCTTTGCTCCACAGGATTTCTCTTTGTACAGTTTACTTTCAGCTCAGCAACACCAAACACACTTTAATTAACTCATAATTGATTATCTTCACAGTTCTTTTTTTCTTTATTTTCCTTGTAAAGCTGTTCGACTTCCAAGCTGCCGTTTTCACCTTTTCATCACAATCTTATCCACTCCTGCTGCAGATGTGTGTGAGTGTGAGTAGAGCAGTGATATTGACAGACTGCTGCCCGGGGCATTTCATTCTTATTACTACTATGTCGAGTAGAAAGTCTCTCGATTATATACCAGCCGAGGCACACTTTATATAACAGCTACTGTTTACGAAGCCGTGTCGCCTTTGGATCTGATGCTGTAGCTGCTCTATCCAGCAAAACACACATTTATCCTGCTTGGAATGAACTCCTGCCGTTGACATTTACGTACCTGTGATGAATATGACTGTTTCTCAGATTATTTCTTGCGTGATGAGCAGCTGAATGATTGTGTTCCACCTGGTTGCCTTTGTGGTGGTTTGTCGCTGTTTTGGCATTTTAGGGTAATTTTAGTCACGAATTCCTGCACAAACAACAGTGTTTGTGCAGTTTGTGGTGCATTCAGAAAATATTATTATACGTCTTTCGCACATCGTTATCTTGCAGCATTGTTCTAAAATTGTTTAAGTTAACTTTTCCCCCTCATCCGTCCACTCTCAGTACCTCATAAAGTGAAAGCATCCACTTTTGTGTTCATTTTTTCCTCCTTATTCAGAGTCAGGTCGTGGTGGTTGAATACTAAGCAGGTCGTTCCAGACGTTCTTGTCCTCGGCAATGTTTTCCGGCTCCTCCTGAGCGATCCAAAGCCATTTCCAGGCCAGAAGAGATATGTAATCCATGCAGAAAGTTCTGGGTCGACTCCAGTGTCTCCTCCCAGTTCACCTGAAAACCTTCTCATGGCACAGGAGACGTCCTAATCAGAAGCCCAAACCACCTCAGCCGGCTCCTTTAGCCTCCAACTTCGGGGTGTCTGAGCTCTTCACCCAACCACTAAACCAGCTACCCAACAGAGGAAACTCATTCTTCTGGTCGTAGGTTAGAAGCTTTTTGCATTTCTTTAAAATGGAAAAACTGACAAAACGATCAGACGGGACTTCGGTGGGAGGGTTGACCAAGAACTTCAGAGATCCTGAGTTACTGCAGCGATTTGGGCTTCAGCCAATCAGAAGCTTCTCCTCAATGAAAGACGCATTAGAACAAGATTCTCTGATCTGATGAAACCAACAGTGAACTGTTTGGTCTCAGTTCTGAGCGTCACATCCAGTGGAAACCAGTCACTTTCCATCACCTGTCTAACGCCACGTCAGCAGTAAAGCATGGTGGAGGCAGCATCATGCCGTTGGGGTGTTTTTCAACAGCTAGAGCAGGAAAACTGCTAAAGATTGAAGGACAGCTGAATACAGAAAACGCAGTTATCTTGCTTCAGAGTTCTCTGGACACAGATCAAAAGTTCAGGCCCAGACATCCAAGACGGAGGAGAGGCTCCGGTCCAACTCTGTGAGCGAAGACCTGGAAATGACCAACAACAACCATCCCTGCCAACCCAACAAAGGTTGACATGATCTGCAGAGAAGAGCGGCAGAAAGTCCCTGAAGTCAGGAAGTTTGACAGGTCGTAGCCAAGAAGACGTAGCCGCCAAGGTGCTTCAGCTGAGTCAAGGGTCTGAGTGATATTTCAGTTTTTCATTTTAAAATTCTCTTTTGAGGATTGAGTGTAGACTGATGAGGAGAAAATGAATTTAAGAATCATGCTGCAATGCTACAAGAACTTCCTGCCTGATCGTTGCGTGTCTGCTGGTTTGTACAGCAGCCGGTCATTGGCTGCGTTTTCAGCTCCGTCAGGTGTTGGGTGACCTGCTGCGAACGAGGCCCAGCATCATTTGAGACGGAGCGTCGATGCTGATTGAATTGACTGGTCCTGAAAAAGACGTGCAGGGTTCAGTCAGACAGAAGAGAGACGGGAGGAAGCTGTTGATCTAATTGTAACTCTGAATGGATGTCTGTTTGGCTCGGAGCTGAGGAACCTTAAAGGAACATCCTGAGGTTTTGGACGATCGCTCAGGTGGTGAACTCACACGATAGGTGTCGAATAAACAGACAAAACAGACTCCTGCATGTTTCTCTCTGGGAACTCACAGCAAACATCAGAAGTTAGGAGATTGTTTTATTGCATATTTGTGGATTTGTCAACTTTAGTATCATGGCGGTCACATAAGCTGTAATAAATGTTCGTTAATGCACATTTACTGTTAACTCAGAGAAGATTTACACTCAAAACTAAGAGAACATCTCTGTTGCAGTATTATTTTAGTCATTTAACTGTTTATTTTCTATAAGTTTTCACAACATTACGCTCTAAGAAATTATGTTTTGGCTCATGAAGAAAAACGACCGCAATGATCTTTTTGAGTGCTGACAACTTCTATGGACGATATGTTCAACCAACAAACTTCACTGAGTTAGAAAAGTTGAAGGTGTTTTTCTTTATTAGCAGCATCAACATGTTTTCATAAAGATTAGGTTGGTACGCTTAATATTTTAATGTGACAAGTGCTATTTCCTGTAATTATGAACATAAGGTTTGAAGCTGCTGCGTTTTAAAAACATAAAGTTAGTTAAATGTTTAGTAGGTTGGAGAGGAGACTTGAAGTTCTGACGTCAAGGTGCAGAAAAATTAAGTTATCATTAAGTTACCTCAATCTAAATTTAGTTTTAAGGTTTTAGTTTTAGGTTATATTACCACAGTGTTTTGTTTTGTTGTTTTTTTAAAATTCGTAGTTATATTTTTTATTTTTATTTATTTATTTATTTTAATTATTTATTGTTTTATTATTGTAATTTATTTATTTATTTTTTACTGTTTTCATATATTTTTAATATATATTTTATTTACATTATATTTTTTATTTTTATTTATTTTTTATTTATTATTTTATTATTGTAATTTATTGATTTTAAAATATTTTCATATATTTTTATTAGATATTTATTACATTATATTTTTATTAATTTTATTTTTTATTATTTTATTATTGTAGTTTATTTATTTTTAAAAATACGTTCATATATTTTTTCATACTTTAATTTTGTGTACTTTATTTATTAATTTTTTTTTTTATTTCTCTTTGCTATTTAATCAGATCAAATAGCAAAGAGAAATTTAAAAAATGCATATCAAACTAGAGTCTTACGAGGTTAAACCAAGTAATGCAGTAATCTTAATTAGATTACACACAGTATTAAGCTCATGCAGCGTTATTATGCCAACACAACCCAAGAAAATAACCTAAATCATTAAATTAGAATATTTATCCTGCAGCCGTGGTGTGGATTACCTTCATGTGTTAACATCAAGAAGCGTGATTCTAGTGTCTGTAGCTTCCTGACATTTTGAGCACTGCTGTGGTTGTTGTAAAGCTTCACCATTCAGCACCTCTCGCTTTATAAATCAACTTTCTAATTTGTGCTGCTAATAAAGCTAACAACCATCTCTCTGTTCCTTCTGTTTCCAGTGACAGACGAAGACACGGTGAAGAGATACTACGCCAAGTTCGAGGAGAGGTTTTTCCAGACCTGCGAGAAGGAGCTTCTGAAAATCAACACGTTCTATTCAGGTATTTGTTTACACTCGAGCTAATAATCGATGGAGAGCTTATGAAGTCAAACTCAATCAGAGGGAATCAGATCATCTATACTGTGGCGGTTGAGCTGCTGTATTGGCCGACGTTCAGCAATATCGCCGTAATTTAATTTTAAAAAATGCTTCCTTCGTCTATAAATGAACTCTGGGCCTCATCACAGATTAACTTACTGCAGCTTTAACCAGATTACAGGTTGTGTGTAATAATATTTTGTGCAAACCGTAATCTGCTGCTGCGGTTTGTGTGCAGTTTAAGTTGTGACGTGCAGAAACTATTCCGGTGCCGAGTGACGTTGCGTCTACTCCGTTTGCCTGAAGCAGCCGGCGGAGCAGCGTGTCCGAGTGTATTTCAGGGAGCGGCGGGAGAATGTGAGTTGGGTGTAACACGAGACATGATATATTCTGGTGTTCTTGGTACCAGAAGGCGGTTTGTAGTCTTGAACTTCAGCTCCAAGTGCGAGGCATCCGGTGCTTCCTCTGCAGGTCGTCTGTGAAACTGCAGCCTCGGCGGGTCAGCAGAGGGCCAAGGTTGGCTGGAAAGATTGTTCCAGCTCGTAATGATGGGATATTACTGGCAGATTTATGGCAGCAGCGGCACACAAACTGGGTATAAATCACGGCGGACCTTGTTAGCAGGAGGCTGATTTACTGCAGCGCTGAAGCAACTTTGAATCTCTTGAGTTGTTTTTCCTTTAACAGCAGTCTCGGAAGCCAGAAGAGAGAACAGGCCTCGTTACGTAGACCCTTGATCCACTACCCGCTGCAGATAATGACGTTTTATTTTGAAAGGGCAGCTGAGCTAATGCCACTTTGTTTGCAAAATCTAAACCACAACAACCTATTTATCTGCAAGAAGTGAAACAACAGAGCACAGTGGAGCCAAGCAGCCATTTAGGTGTCGTTTCCAATCGTCTCAGAGCTTCCTGTGACTCGTGTCGGCCTGTCGACAGCAGCACAGTCGCTTCACATCAGTGTTCCAGGCGGCGTGGCCTTCAGCAGACGGAGCTGTGAGGTTAAATGAAAACATCAACGTCTTGTTTATCCGCCGCGCGCAGCAGGGAGAAGCAAAAAGAAAAGAAGAAAAAGGAGTCGGACGGGCAGCTTCATCTGATGTCCGTCACCGTGTGCTGGTGGTGGTTTAAAAAAGCCGGCGATTGGAGATAAATCGTGCGCTGACTTTACATAAGACGCTTGCCTCCACAGAGCTCTTCCCGCCTCTGAAAGGGGTCCTTGACCTTTCCGAGCCGCGCTGCTGCATTGCGCTAAAATCCAGCCTGTTGGACGACACTTTCATCACCGCGGGGTTAAACACACACCAAAAAGAAACCGAGGCTTTTGCCAAGTTCGCAGAACGCTGCTGCATTTCGACACCGTTTCACAGCATCTTTATCTGGAAGCTGAGGAGGAACTAAAGGGTCGTTCTGTATAAAACCAAAACAAATCCACGTTAAAATCAGCTGATTTTAAAAAAATATACAACAACTTTGATGTGTTTAGTGAATCCGTGGAATGTTTAACCTTCATACTCTTTATATTGTTAGAGTTACAGGCCCCTAAAGTACACAGTGGTGGGTCACTATGAGCTTTTTCATATCATCATATCTTCATAAGTGCAGGAGAAATGTGACATTTTCACGAAAAACACATTTTACCACAGAATGAATCGTGTCTAGAAGATGATCCTGGTGTCAAATGTGGGTCAAAATGATCCTTTCATTGTCTAGAACTTGTTCTGACCAACCACCATCACACATGAGCCTTGAAAGTTTACCCAGAATGCACTTGTTAGAGTCTTCTCTGGTGAATTACCAGAAACCAGAAACACATCCAGGGTACCAGTGATGACTCTGTGTCATTACACTGCTGCAGTTTTATGGCCAAAACTATGATACATCCCATAATATTGATGCTAAGAGTTCTGACGGATGCAATTCTGTTTTATCATTCCTTATAAAAATCAAATAAATCTGCCAGAAGTTCCGCCTGACCTCCTCACAATCAGCTGGGTTTGTTTTTTTTTACATCAGTGTATTTGCTGAAGTCATGCAAAGTTTTTTCCTCATTCTGTGAATATTTTCCATCATTTCTGAGCCTCATAACTGCATCTGTGCAGCAGATAAACACACGATATTGTCAGGGCTGAAAACTGCAACCAGATCAGTTTCACATTCACTCCAGGAGTCACGATCTAAAGACTAAATCTCATTTTGCTGTTCAGCATTATTTCTTCGATAACCAGCTGTGAGCGTCAGTATTATGGGATGTATCGTAGTTTGAACAGTCAAACTGCAGCAGTATAATAACATAGAGTCATAGAAACAATCATTAGTACCCTGGATGTGTTTCTGTTTTCTCATAATTCACCAGAGAAAACTTTAACAAGTGCATTCTGGGTAAACGTTCAAGGCTCATGTGTGATGGTGGTTGGTCAGAACTAGTTCTAGACAATGAAAGGATCATTTGGACCAACATTTGACACCAGGATCATCTTCTAGACACGATTCACTTTGTGGCAAAACTATGTTCTGATGTAGGCACGTTTTCAGTGTTTTCATGTCTTATGAAGTTATGAGGCTCAAGAATGTCGGAAAAACCAACTCGAATCAAAAACTGTGAAATTTCAACCCACCTTTTATGGACTTCATGATCCTGTAACTCTAAAATATTCAAAGTACGAAGGAAAATCTTTGCATGGCTTCATTTAATTTATTAAAAAATCAGCTGATTCTTGCGGGGACAGGTTGGAGGAACCGGTTGATTTTTTTTTTTATGGCATATTCCACTTAACCCCCCCCCAGCAGTGGAAATGTAAACCATCAACACCTGTCTGTTTCCGGCTCATTAGTCCCACACAGACGAACTGTTCTCGTCCTCTGCTGCAGACCTCAGATCTAATCTGGACCTACGTGTAGCAGACAGTCGGGGTCGTGACTTTCTCACGCCTCCCGCTCAGTGGAGCGTTGTTGTGACAGAAGTCCAGTAGCAGGATGGCTGTGAATGTAGACGTCAGGGAGGCGCTGTGGCAGGTAGCGTGACGTCTGGACAATGTGTGTGTGTGTGGGAGAGTGTGTGTGGGAGTGTGTCGGAGCAACAAAGCGTGAAAGTCACCGGTGAGAACTCACAAGAGCCGCCTCTCTCGCTTAAGGACAAGACGAAGCGGAGCCTCGGTTTCCCCGACTGTCAGGCTGGCAGAGGGCTTTTCAAACCAAACATAATTGAGTTTGTTATCAGGCCGCATGCAGCGCTGTGAGGAAACAGCACAGTCAGAGCGTTTAGTGGTTTCTGCAAGTCATGGGCACACGGTTGGTTTCTATAGTTGGACTGTGTTATTACAGCGAGAAAACATGCGACCAGCAGCAAATGATGACTTTGTTGATGAGCTAAAAAGCCACAGTGGGACGGAAAAATGTTCCAGTCAGCCTGAACACACACTAAAACCCACTGAGTTTGCTCATGAATGAATCAGAATCAGCTTCACTGGCCAGGTTTGTGCAAGCAAAGGAGGAATTTGACTCTTAGCTGTCTGTGTATAAACAAAAGAAATAAACTAGAACAATGAAAAGAAGAGTTAGATAGCAGCATTTATAATGAATAAATAAAGACAGGACTGACATCAGCAGCTCGGTGGTGCTTCTGTGCTGGATTAAACTAACAGCTCAAATCAAAACTGCAAATTAAACCGGTTTAGAATCTGTATCATGCAGCACGTCTGACTCAGGGCTTAAACTGTTATTGGTTTTATCATATGCGACACTACTGCACAGTGGAAATCTAACTGAAGCTTCACTTACGTCTGTCAGAAAATATGCAGTTAGATATTCTCCCAGAGAGCTACAACTGTCAGCCGGTGTTTACTCTGAGCAGAGTTTGAAAAGATTCAGACAAAGCAAAAGCGTTCGCCGCTAACTGACTGCGACTGGGGATGACTTCAGACCGCCATGAATAATGGAGCTAATCTCAGTCGTAAAGCATGCAGGACGACGAGATACGCCAATGAAACACAGGTTGCCGTCCATCCACCCTCCCCTCCGCTCCCGCTGAGCCTCTCTGGATGTATTAACCTACATCTGACCCACATAATGGTTCCTCAGTCAGCCGGAGAGTCTCCACGTTTCCTGGAACTGAGCGGAGGAGAGAGAGAGGAGGTTAGCTCGTTATGGAAACCCGTCCGCTGCCTCCATCAGAACGAAACCAGGAAATGTTTGTGCTAATTAGCGCTTGTTCAAAAATATGTTGCTGTAAAGAAGCCGTATGGTGAAAAGCCTTTTTTTTTGGTGGTTGTTAAGATGTTTGGACATTTACTTCTGCCCACATCTGGACACCTCCCAGATTTTACAAAGCAGCAACAATTTGACTGAAATGCTTCGTACCACCAGGAACCAGTAATCCAGCTCACTGCTGCTGACCCAGTTGGTCCACCAGGTGTATCTGCTTTCTACAGCTGCTTCTGCAAACTTTAAGCTACGAGCAAAGTTCACCAGATGTTGGCTGCAAGAGTGAACACGAGAGTCTTCATGCACTCCCAGCATCTGAGGAACTAAACACTCAGCGGATTACTTATATGTTTGATCGCTGTGTCCCTGCAGCAATAGAAGAATTCTTAGTGTTAGCACATTGTGTGGCTAATGTGGCTAACATTAGCTTCGATGGGCGGAGATCTGTGAGAACTTTGACATTGGGGGACATTCTGAGGAACTGGTGGAAACTTTAATTCAAACCAGTAAACAAGGACTGAGTGTTTGTTTTCATGCTGTGCTTCAGTTCAACCTGCCGTCTACGTCCGTTAGCGTCTCTCCTGCTCTCTGAATTCTGTTTTCATTCTGTTATGTGTCACTGTTTATGATTGTATTGTCTGTTTTTTGTTTGTTTGTTTTCTTTTTCTTTCTTCTCTCTTTATGTCCTCACTGGTTCTTAATTAACCTACCTGGATAAATAAAGGTTAAAAAATGAGGATGAAATACTGACTGAAGTGACCATCATGACTCCATGCACCACAACATCGTCTGATAAACTCACCAAACACAGGAGTTAAAGACGACGACCGTGCTGAGAATGTTTTAGACATTTCCATGCACGATGACCACTTAACAAACTATAGAAATCCTGGTCTCACACGCTCACTCACAACGGCGGCGATGGCGTGACAGAGGGAGTCTTCTTCCTGAAGGAGGCGGAGACAGCAGCATTTAAAAAGCTCCAGACACTAATGCAGCCCATGTAGAACTGGAATAAAACCAGGAATCATACAGTCATGGTGAAATGAACCATCTTCATGGTGTTTTGAGCTGATAAATTAAAAGACACACGTTGGGGCATGTGGGATTTCCATGCATTTGCCAAAAAAAGGGAACAATACGGGACCTTAAATAAGTGAAGTAACCAATTAACAACAAATATGTGGGTCATGCTTTATATACATGATCATTTTTGGTTCTGAAAATATCAGTAGGAGAGGACTCAACCAAGATTCATGTGTTAAACTACGTCGGATGTAGCTTCTGAATGATAATCGTCAGTGATGTAGACAGCGGTTAAAACAGTACGGCCTCTTTAAGTGTGGGTATCAAAAAGCACTGAAAAACTTCTTTTAACTCCCTCCTCTCATCTCCCCGTCTGCAGAAAAGCTCGCCGAGGCCCAGCGGCGGTTTGCGACTCTGCAGAACGAGCTGCAGTCGTCGCTGGACGCTCAGCGGGAAAGCAACGCTCCGCCCGGCCTGCGGAAACGCAAGACCATGTTCCACCTGTCGCAGGAGGAGCGCTGCAAACACCACAACATCAAGGACCTGAAGCTAGCCTTCAGCGAGTTCTACCTCAGCCTCATCCTGCTCCAGAACTACCAGGTAGCGCTCAGGCTTCCTCAGACGCAGCGTTGCTTCAACAAAGTCTGTGTTTTCTGGTGTTTGAATCCTCGTTGTCTTCCGCAGAACCTGAACTTCACCGGTTTCCGTAAGATCCTGAAGAAGCATGACAAGATCCTGGACACTCCTCGCGGCGCCGACTGGCGGGTGGCTCACGTGGAGGTGGCGCCGTTCTACACCTGCAAGAAGATCACGCAGCTCATTACCGAGACGGAGGTGGCCGCTCGCGTTCACACAGACATAAAACCGAGAAATGAATGTAAAACAGGTCAACAGGCAACTAAACCTCTGCTGTGTTTGTGTGCAGACGCTGGTGACCACAGAGCTGGAGGGAGGCGACCGTCAGAGGGCCATGAAGAGGCTGAGAGTTCCTCCGCTGGGGGCAGCTCAGGTCGGCCGATCACACTGGAAGTCGATCAGGGAGCTTTGCTTTTCAAATCCAGTGACGACTAATGTCCCTCATCAGGAGGCTGCAAACATTCAAAAATGAAAAAACTGATAAAACGCACTGAAACAAAATGTAAAGGCAGCTTGCAAACTGTCTTGTTTTCTGACGTTTCTCTTTTTTTTTACTCTTATTACTGTTGTTCTGTTGGGAAAAAGTTTAGCCAACAGTTTAATTCTCGACCGTTGAGTTTATTCACACCGTTGTGGTTTTAAAACACACTGATTAAATATTGTGACCAGCACACCGATAACCGTAAAAGTCCACCTTAAAATGCAGCTTTATTTAAATACCACAGGTGACAAGAGAAAGCTACAGAAACTCTAATGTCCACAGCCCCAACATCTGTGGTCTAAAAATGCATTTCAGACGGCTCTGGATGTCTGACAACACGATCCTGTCCACCGACTTCACCGAGACGATATCCAACAACCTCACTGGCTCGCAGATTTTGTGATTTCTACTCCTTGATTATCATTTCATTAAGCTGTATAACACATCCCTACGTCCCTTTGTTAGAATTAAAGGACATAATTTAATGAAATGTTTATTACTGTAGTCATAGTTGGTGCTGCTGCGCTGGTCAGAGGTGCATCTAAAATTATTCCTTATATTCATGAATGTTAACGGTGCGACCAACTGTTATCCCATTAACAGACAGAAAATACATTACTGACGTCAACGAGAACTGTTCTATTCAATGTTTAGGCGTGGATGTATGTTTTTCTTGCACCTAAATGAAAAGAACCGATCGGGCCTCTGTGCCGGAGAACATCCCAGCAGCTAACAGTGATTATGGTATTTAGCTGGTGGTGAACACAGATTAAAAACAAAGGTAGGAGCTTCATCACGAGAGAAACGGACGGAGCGAGGAAACCATCAGAGCATTGATTTTCTAAGTGCCTTTCCATTGTTGTCCAGGCAGGACATCAGTCAGGAATAATCGAGGCTGGTGGCACCTCGCCCCCCCACCGGCGTTACGTCTGCTGTTATTACTGCATTAATTACCGTCAAGTCCGACTTCGAGTGTGATTTGTGATCGCTGCACGTTTTTGTATTGAATCATATCGAGCAGATTAAAAAGGAGCTCAAGTGGCCGAAAAAAAAACAAACACTAAATGTTCATAAACAGTAGAGATTGTTAGTAAATCAGCTTAGTCATGAATATTTTATACGTTTTAAAACTGTGCAAAATCAGTTCTTCTACAACGTAGATCAAATCTGTGTTAATTCTTCTCTATCGGTATTTCTACGCATGAAAGGATCAATGATATGTGCAATGTTGACATTTCTACATCCAGAGGAATGTGGACAATCTGAACTACAACCACTAATAATGATGACAACTTTTATTAATTATGATAAAAGGTACTATTAAAACGGTAATATTACTATTCGTAGTAGTGTTTTGTTATTATTAAAACTATTGTTAGGTTTTATTATTAGGTATTTTTATTTTATTTTATTTTATTTTATTTAAGTTTATCTCCAGTTTTGCCTCTCCAGTCTTTTTTCTATGCTCTACTAATAATAAAACAAACAGAAGGAGAAAAGACTAGAAAATGAAAATTAAAGAAATAAAGTTAAATGTGTCAAAACGATTTTTAAAATCAATCCATACGACAACACCAGATAAAATAAAAAAAATAATATTTAAATTTAAAAAAATAAATTTAACCAAAAAATGCCATATTTAATTAGAGAGTGGAATAAACAAATCAGACAAGGCTAGAAGTAATAATAATAATAATTATAATAATAATGACAATAATAGTGGCAGTAAATAAATAAAATAGATACTTATAAAAGTAAATAAATAAAGGGAAAATAGTATAAAATGAATAAATGAGATAAATAAAGTTTAAAAAAAAAAGTCAATTAGACACAAACAGAAGATAACAAATTATGTAAGAACAACCCCACTAAAAATTATTTTAAGAATAAAAGAATAAAAAAAGACACTGATTTAGCAAAGCTTATTCAGATACAAAAGAAACTGAGTTTTAATGTGGAGATCAAAGGTTAAATTAAATTAAAAAATCTCTCAGGTGTCTGGCTGTAGGTTTTATGTTGTGTGACATTTTTACTGTCATATTTTAGTTTCTTACATTTTTGCTGCTGTGACCCTTCATATCCCCCCACTGTGGGATTAATAAATCGTTTTCCCTCCTTGTTCCCTTCTTCCTGTTCCAGCCTGCCTTGGCCTGGACCACCTTCCGCGTCGGCCTCTACTGCGGCTTCTTCATCATCCTCGCCATCGCCTTCGTTCTCACCGGTAAGTCGCATCGACGCTCCAATCCGTTTATACTGTTGCAGATTTCATCCCTAAAAAGCAGAACAATGCGAATGCGGTGCGTCTGACCAGGTGCCGTGTTCGTCCGCTACGAGAACGTGTGGCCTCTGGTGCGGATCTACCGCGGCGGCTTCCTGTTGATCCAGTTCCTCTTCCTGCTGGGCATCAACACATACGGATGGAGGCAGGCCGGAGTCAACCACGTCCTCATCTTCGAGATCAACCCGAGAAACAACCTCTCGCACCAACACCTGTTTGAGGTGACGCGCTGTTTCTGTTGCATTGTTTTTAGGAAAATAAACTTTGATGGGATTTTTAAAAATATGCACTGGGAGCGATCGAGGCTGCTGAGTCACAGGGGTAATCCATATTCAGAGATTATCATGTAAATTAAGATTGCATTCAGCAGAAATCACACCATCCTGTCCGCTAAGGGTTTTATTCGGGTTTTCTTGTTAATCGTGTTGTTCTGCTGCAGATTGCCGGCTTCCTCGGCGTGCTGTGGTGTCTCAGCATCCTGTCCTGCCTGTACTCGGAGTACACCTACCTCCCCATGCAGATCAACCCCCTCATCCTCTACGGCTTCATGCTGCTCTTCCTCATCAACCCCTTCAAGACCTGCTACTACAAGTCACGCTTCTGGCTCCTCAAACTGCTGGTGGGTCGATTCTCAGTGCAAACTAAACATGTGTCTGACTGCCGTGTTTTTTGGCTGAAACTCCCTCTCTAAAAAAGTGGTTGCACATTCAGAAAATAATCCCTTCCTACCTTAAAATAGCTCTTCTTAAACAACGAGCGGATCTATGAAGTAGCTCCTCTTTCTTGGTGCACCCTTTTGCTGCAACTCGAGCTTTCCCACCGCTCTGCTCGAACTCTGCAAAAATAGCAACCTGTGATATTGCATTAATTCGTTACTGAAACAGAAGCTGTACGACGGACGCAGCCACAGTGAAGTCAATCTGACTTGAGAATCACAAGTGATGCACTAAAAGAGTCGAGAGTGTCGACAAAAACAACTTTCAGGAGCAGAAACGACGATGAATTGTGTTGTTAGTTGCATATTAAAGGTCCAGTGTGCAGGATTTAGTGGCATCTAGTGGTGAAGTTGCAGATTGCAAAAAGTTAAAGCCTCTCGCGTCACGTTTCTTATTCAAGTGTGTTGGAAAAATCAAACATAATCGAGCCACTGTGACAGTTCCAATGCGTTAATCACCAGGTGGGCTGAAGAAAAACTCTGCTTTATCGTCGGTTTTACTCTACATGGGACCATAATTTGCTAAATTTATATCCTGCTGTGTTTAAAAAGACTTGAAACTTGTGATTTAGACCATAAACTCATGATTTAACAAATCTTGAAAGAAGTCATTTTCTCGTTGACCTCTACACAATCTGACTTTGTTTTGCAACCAGAGGAGTCGCCCCCTGCTGGCCATTAGAAAGAATGCAGGTGTGTGGTGCTTTATTATTCGGACCCGGAGACGGCATCCATCTTTTTAATTTACAGCTTCTCTGACTCACCAGATGTAGGTCACTTCCACCCAGCTTGCTCCTCTGCTGTTGCTTTCTACACTTTTTTTTTTTGAAAATCACTGCGCGAAACAACAATAGCCTCCCAGCAACAACCTACACGCTGCAAGTTTCTAGTTTGCTGAGGATTTGGATGATTTTTATCATTAACGAAGAACAACATCCGTCCATGAGCTTCACCCAATACGACTGTAATAGGTTAAAAGAAATAGAAACCTGCAGCAGAATGACGATGAGATGCAGTGAAACTAAACATACAATCTGTGTTCTAAAGAAGAACAGTGATACAGCAAGTGAACTGAAATAATTGGTTCCAAAGGTTTCTGACATATAAACCCCTGGAAGTCTGAATTTGTATATTTGTTTTAATTTACAATTTTATGTACAAATTCTTAGAAAAATGTTTAAATACTGGTATAAGACTAATCATTCAGTTTGTTATGTACAAATCCAGATCGAATCAAGTGTAATATAATATTAAAATAATGTGTTTTTACAAGCAACTTACAGTAAAAACTCTGTTAGATCTTAAATTTTCAAGAAGTATTAAGTTTGAAAACAATATCTGTACAACTGATAATTTGACAATGATTTTTATACTGGTATGTTCATGCGTGTTATTGAGGGACTTTTTTTTATCCACATCTATCCAAATTGGACGCCACTGAACATGTCAGGAAAAAGTGCAAAATCTGTTGAATGCTTGAACCTACAGATATCAGCGAGGGCTCTATTGAAAGTTTATACCCAGAAGAATCCATATCTGGACACAGAGTCACTCTATTAGTTATAGAAATTCATATTTCATCATATAAACGAAATATGATGTATATTTTTCATAAAAAGCTATGATAAGACCATATCAAAACAAGTGCTATGGGCAAGTTTAAATATATATTTACAATTCACACTAACAACAAACACTGCAAACTGTATATTTAGTGTATAACTCAAACTGTGCACATATTCTTAGCACGACGACACTCACTTGTTTTCTGTGAGCCGCTCGTTATAACAGCCTCTGCTTGAAGAAAGCATCGGGGCAGCTGCTGTCTCGACTTGTGAAGCCTCCACGACTTCCTCTGTTGTGTATTTTCTCTTTTCTGTACGTGTTGCCGTGTTTTTATGCTCCAAAACTATCCCAAAATAGAATAGAATAGAATAGAATAGAATTATTTTTATTGTCATCATACACAAGGTACAACGAAATTAAAAGACAACTCTAGTGGTGCAGAAGTATAAAAAGTAAAGTATAGAAAGACAAATGTGAATATATGCATGTATTTACAAAGGAGCCAGTAGGAAGTATGTACAGTTAGCCAAACAGTAGAATAAATATATTGCACTGTTGAGGCAGGAACGCTGTGGATATATGAGAAATATAAATAGTATCAATAAATAAAGAATTATTATAAGTAATAAATATATACAAAATACAGTGGCATGTATAATAATAATTAAAAACGTAATTATGATATAATTGTATAGTATAGTATAGTATTATACAAATAATAAATATATGTGATAAATAGTACAAACAAGATGGATTTTACTGGATTATGTTCACTGGTTGTGTCCGGACAGAATGAGACCAAGCTGGTGAGGAATGAACGATGTTTGAGCTGCAGAGAGCCTTAAACAGTAAGAAAAGTAGGATTTTAACATTTTGCTTTTCTGTACAAAAAGCTCTTTGTGTCAACGCGGTGGTTGCTGCAGGTCAAAAAGGTTTATATCATCGGAAAGAGGAGACTCTGAGGTTTAATTTGATGTGTATATTGTCGGGAAACGTGATTGTGGAGCATGCGCACATATGGCTGTAATGTTTTGAGAAAGTGGTCACGTGGTCCCGCCGGCGGGACGTAGGGACTGTAAGGGGTTTTAAGCTCGTCAGACATTTGAGAGTTTCCCAAAAAAGAAAGGAAAGGAAAAAAGAAAACATAATGATTGTTCACGAGTCCCAGAACATGAGTCCGAGTCAAGTCTGAAGTCTCTCTGTGTACGACTTAAGTGCGACTCGAGTCGCAAAGTTTGAGATTTTTGCCAAAAAAAATACTGAACAGTTACTGATTAATCCTCTTAATATTAACCACCTGGTTTATAGATGTAACGCCGCCTCTTCCCACACAGCTCGGCTGAAGTTCACCAGGTCGCATTTAAACTCCTGCTGCTGCACAAAAGTGTCCCAGCAGCGCCTCAGCATCTCCTGCAGAGACGCATCCAGGTTGTGTTCATTGTTGTTGACCCTGATTTGAGTTCCAGAGGGGTATAACTACGAAGCAAGTTTGACATAGCCAGGCTTTCTTTGTGTAAGCCGAATCGACAAAACCGAAAGCCCCAGCCAGAGATCACAATCAGAGCGAA